ACAGATCTAATTTGACTGGGAAGCAAAAAGCCGGAAGCGAGGTGTACAACAGAAGAAACTGTTAACATAAAACTTACGGTTACATCTAGGCATTTCAACCAGAAAATGAGACCTTACTTCCAATCTAGTACTGCGCTTAAATTCATAAAATCAAGGTGCCATCGAGCAAAGTTCATCAGAACAATTGTCATGAAAGTAGTTATAGAAAAGACACAGGGAAGCTACGTTACGGCGGTGGGAAAGAGTCTGAACTTGAGATGTCAGGACAGGACCAATGAAATTGCACATTCTTCTTTGAATTTTAACAACAATCTCTAAATATATAGCAGAAACACCGGACCATATTTGGCAGTATTATTCAAAGAATAGATGAATGGTAGACTTATAAATATGTAAGATAGATTCTGGCGAGAAAAATTGTCTAGCATGACACAGTGACCCAACTTTCTCAGCTGCAATTGATTCAATATACTCTTTCCACATCATATCGACTGAAAACGTTAGTCTGAGAATACGCAATGAGTCAATCTTCTGGAGGTTAGTATCAGCCATGCTGATGGAAGGCAAAAAGGGTTCTCTGAGATGATTAAAATTGACAAGCCACTCCTTGCCCCATTTAACAACAGATTGTAGGTCATTTTTGAGATCAGCTGCCAATTTGACTTTATCGAACCAATCAAACTTAGCATTAAGTCTTACTTACGGTCCTACTGAAATCCATCCGAGGGCACCTTAAGATTAAGGAGACCCTAGATTAAGAAGCCCTAGTTTATCAGCCCTTTGGAGGCTATTTAAAGCCAAAACATATTCGGAGGTTTCTTACAGTAACCCGAGTCCAATGATTTGATAGTATCCATATCCCACAAATATGTTATGTTAGTCAGAAGGTTAGTATAACTGGTGGATTTCTCACACACTAATTTCTGTCGTTCCCAGGTCCACCCTGACCCAGGATGGTAGCACATATTAAGGTCCCAGCAATGGACAAATAGTGAACACCCAAACAAAAATCAACAGTACGTTTTTATAATAAAATGATCAACAATGCATTTTTATAGCAAAATGACAATCTACACAATACTAAAAAATATAAAAATACATTTTTATAGTAAAATTACGAACAATACATTTTATTATTTACAAAACATATATCTAAAAAACATATCTTTAATCTGAAAGTATAAAATTATTTATAAATATTTCGATTTCGGCATTAAATAACCCATAGAGATGTTGATATACCACCAAACAAAATTAATCAAACAACCAACATGGAAGAACTCTTTCATGACATTAGTCCTTACAATTTTTTGAACCGTATTACAAAATATAACTTCAAGAAAACCACAACATAAAACACACGTATCACCGCCTCTAATAATCATGTCCACAGAAGAAATAAAAAGACAACATTTCTTATGAGCTACAAAAGACAGGAAATTGAGACGAGCCATGATCGCCAAAGAACTGAAGGGATACGCCGTACATAGAAGAAGTCTGATTTTCTGGGATGAGTCCTTATCTACGTGCAATGTTTCTTTGCACAACATATCTTACTCTCCAACAGACAGGCCATGCAAGGTATTATATAAAAAGTGTTAAGTAAATTTTTATAAGATTTCAATATCATTCTTCTTCTTCTTCTTCTTATTATTATTATTGTTGAGTAAAAGAGCGGCACACCAGTACTCAGGGACATCGTCCGGTTCACACTCCTTCCTGATACTTTGAACCTATTGTATAGATATATTTCTTGTCCTCTGTTTAAGAATGTTTACGGTTCTTTCTAAAGTCTTTTCATTCTCTTTCACTCTTAGTAGCCCCTTGCTTCTTAGTGGCTTGATCGCTTTGATTAATATATATATGTGTGTGTGTGTGTGTGTGTGTGTGTGTGTGTGTGTGTGTGTGTATATATATTATATATGCGCGGTACTTATTGGAAAGTGATCAATATCAGTGATAGCTAACATATTTAGTTGTACGGATATGAGTTTGTGACCCTGAGTTTCACGCTTATGCAATCATGAAACCCAGGGTCACAAACTCATGTGTATATATCTTTCTCTCTCTCTCTCTCTCTTTTCTCTCTCTCTCTCTCTCTATCCATCATGACACTCAGTTTGATAAGGATATACCAGGCACATACATCACAGCCAAATGTTCACGATATGACAGGTTTTGATACAAATAGCACATATCCTTCCAGGTGGAGCCCGGTTAGAAATAGTTTCATGTCGTCTAACCCTGTCCGCCCCGACATAATCCGACTGAGATTGTTCTATATGAGACTCCCAAGTTCCTTTTGTTGCGTCATTCTTAAAATCTAATTGTCCAGACACCGAGCCATAACGCTCTCTCATTCCTCTTGCTTATGAACGAAGATCCATCAAAATCTAAGAGTCATGCCCAAGTCATTATAGTAAGGCAACTGACAAGCGACTTTGTGGTACTGACCAGGTTTTTTTTTTTTATTGCAACCTACCTTAATTCACCAAAACAAAATATGTACATGGTAACACCCCAAATCATTAGAGATCAAAAGCCAGGAGAACCACGTCTGGTGTATTATTATTAATTATTATTATTATTTCCTTTGATTTCTGGTGTAGACTCATTTCTTTGTGGGTCGCATTCAGAAACTTAAGGTCAGAAATGGCAACATTCCATTTTCCACTGATCATTTTTTTTGTGAAGAAAAACAAAACAAAAAAAACTAGGATTACATACATGTTATTTGTATTTCTTGGGCTACCAGGAATCCCTTGAATGTGTCTATCGGAACCTTTTCCAAATAATCGGAGGGCTCCAACTCCAACTGGAATTGTTGATGGCCTCATGTAACACAGATTTGAGATTTCTATTTCAAGGCCCTTCTACTTTGATAGTTTTTTTAAGATCTTCAAGGATACGTTACAGTCTGCAGGGACTGACATGGCAATAAGAAGGCACGTTTTATTTTTTTGTGGTTTCTCATCACGATATCTGGGTGATTAGCATTGATTGTTCTGTTTATTGTAAAGTGCCATAAAATTATTACAGGTCCCATTTCTGTAACTAGATCTAGGTGATCATTACGAATATTATTTTATTATTTCCTTTGATTTCTGTTGGATACTCATTTCCTTCCGGGTACCAACCAGAGACCTAAGGTCAGAAATGATTTCATGAAATTTTCCACTGATCATTTTTTTTTGTACAAAAAGCAAGAAATGAATTTATCGGAACCTTTTCCAATCAAATCGAGAGCTCCAACTATAAATAGAATTGTCGATGTCCCCATGTGCCACATTTTTTAGATTTCCACTTCAAGATCCTTGCGTTTTGATAAATCTATGAAGATCTTCAAAGATACATTATTATTATTATTATTATTGTTACTACTGCTTCTACTGCTACTACTGCTACTACTACTACTACTTTGATTAACAATTATTTGCTAAACCTTTTACCCGAGAAAACGTAAATGATGGTTTCTCTTCGGATGTCATTGAAAGGGTTTTAAGGAAAATGGAAACAAAAAAGACATTTATACTTAGAATCAGAAGAAAGTTTCCGGGGTGCGTAATGAGGAAAGAGGGCTTTGAAAATTTGACACTAACAAGACCTATTGAAGGCAACGGGGACAGAGGAAAGCAGCGCGTAACCTCTGCCTAACGAGCTTGTGCAATTGGAATTAGGATTTAGGGATGGATTAGGAGAGATGGCGGAAAAAAAAACAATTACGAAGCGCTAAAAAGGACAGGAAATTTTGGAGAACCATGATCACCCGCGTCCTGAATGGGCACGGCAGAAGTAGAAGAATTTGGCTTTTAATTATTTTAATACTGTTCTTTTCGATTTTTGTATTTGTTTACTTAAGTATTACGGTTTTATAATTTACATTGCTTTATAGTGTTTTGTTTACCTTGTTTTATATATTTAAAACCTTTATTTTTTTAGCTTCTAAAAAGCGTAATGTATATAATGTTTATATATATATATATATATATATATATATATATATATATATATATATATATTTAGTATTTTAATTTAGTATATTTATTTTTATAAAACAGTGCTCAATGTAAATTTGCAGATTTAATTAACTGCTTTAAAACTTAACTGATTTAAAATTTTAGTTCAATATAATTGAATTTGAAGTTTTTGGTTTATGTTTTTGTAATTCCTGTGTCGCGATGAAACCATATTTTTAAATCAGTTATATATATATATATATATATATATATATATATATAGGGTCCTTTTCGTGGGTTGAGCACTTTTAGAAGAAAAATTATGTGTTGGTTGCTGATACTGATTAATGCTAAGCTCTTCTCTATTAATTGAGCACTCTGCTAGCCAGCAATGCATATATCTTGTATATAATGTGTTAAAAATTCCCTTTCTTCCTAGCGTGCACTTATGGCCCAAGGGTGAGAGTCGTTCGGGTTTCGATCCCAGCTTCAAGCAGTAACTTGAGTAGCCACACTGATGGGCTGTGTACAACGAAACAGTCTGTCTGTGGATGACACTCTCTCTCTATATATATATGTACTAGCTTAAAAGCCGCTCTAGCCTTTGGATCTTGTCGGTGCGACCGACAGAGGGTAAAGTATGCAGTCTAACCAGCGCACGGCCTCCATATACTATCACCCACCAGTTCCCCCGACCCCCGGAGAGGTCACTCCAGTCTCACCACCAAAGGATTGAAGCTTGACTTTCTCTTGCTAGTCTTTATCTCGTGATATAAACGTATGCCCATTATAAATGTATCAATGATTGTTGTGAATTGCATCATCATGAACCGTACCATATTTTGTTTCTTTTATCACAGTGAACTCAAATGTCACCGTTATGAGAAATCCTATTGTCATTATCTTGTTAACATGACATTATGTGTGATAAGTTTTAATCTTCAAATATTATCATCAGCAGTTTCATGGCTAAAATGAGACAGATAACACCATGACGACTTATCGACAACAATAAAGTTTGACATTTTCGCCCCAGGAAAACAAATGCAGCAAGAAAAAACTCATGTGTTTTACAAATTCAAAGTATGGCATTAATTTTTTTTTATTTGTTTGGTGCTTGTGTGTTTGGTGGCGGTGTAGTGGTGGTGGGAGAAATTGTTTCAAATTAACAAGGCTCATCGATCCGGCATTAATGCTTATGTTTTATAGAATTTGTATTCTTGGTTTATTTATAAAATGCGTGAGAACGAAACCCGCGAATGATTTAGGCGTTTACGGTCATAATTTATCATCGACTCATATCGGTCTGTTGTGAAAATATTCCATCTATCTATCTATCTATCTATCTATCTCACTCACTCTTTTCGCGCGCACACACAAAAGTTTATCCCTAAAGACATGTCTTTTTTTTTAGAACGATAGAATAAGGCCCAAACGTTTATAAATTTAACATGTTTCGCTTTTATTTAGGCTTCATCAGAATTTTTTTTTTTTACTTTTTTCTACTTCAACATACACACCCACACACATATGAGAAAAATATAGTTTTAATGTAAGGTATATTTATGGATAAAAGTGCTCAAAATCAGAGATAGACCGTATGTAAATATAAATGTGGACACTGAGGTTAACACCAAGTGGTGACAATCTGTTTCATGCTTGGGACGCAATCTTAAGTCCACAAGCGTTTTCATATTTGTTTCTTACACACACACACACACACACACACACACACACACACATATATATATATATATATATATGAATAAAGACAAAAGGAAAATTTATCTGACGGACTTTATCAAGGCAAACGTACTTTTTAAAATGTTCAGATTTAAGAGACGCTCATAAATATTCATCAGGTTAACTGAAAAGTCAAGGCAAATTGTGCAAAGTTATACTAAGTTACGTTTGCATCTGTTTATAAATTAGTTACTTGTTGCAAAATACAATCATTGCGTTTGCCTTGATAAAGTCCGTCAGAAGATGAAACGCATCGGCTAAAATAAGTTTTACTTTTGTCTTTATTCAAATTGTTCTTTTACAAATATATTTTGATTATATATGAAATTACACACACACACACACACACACACACACACACACACACACACACATATATATATATATATATATATATATATATATATATATATATATACCAATGATACGTGTATAAAAAGGAAAAACCGAAAAATATAAGAATATAAATTGCTGATACCCCCTGAATAGTGGATGGAGAGTTCCGCCTACGAAACTCTGGAGTCGGAATGGTGAAGGTAACATCAATCAGTTAAGTGAGAAACTTTTACTCATATTAATCCCATATATATATATATATATATATATATATATTATATTTTAAAATGTTTGATTCGCTTCTGAATTACATAAAAGTTCTCATCATTTTTCAAGCGGAAAATTTAGGAACCTAAATTTAGGATTCAATATAATTATTGAAATTAAATTGAAGATGAATTTCTTGATAAGCCCTCAATTTCATTTTTATATTGAGGTTTTTGAACCTTGTTTTTGAAACATGAGAACTCTTGTAGCGAAGGAAATCATTTTTTAAAATAATTATAATATAAGCTCTAATTTGTATGTAGCACTGTGTTTTAAAAAAAAAAACAAAAAATACTAAAGAACCCCGGATTATTTACCTAACGTGTTCTTTCCTATTTTCTATATATTTGCACACACACACACACACACACACACACACACACACACATATATATATATATATATATATATATATATATATATATATATATATATATTATTATTAATTTTACGCCGCGCAAAGCAATAAAACCACTAAAACGCTAGGGCTTACTAAGTGCGAAATGAATATGAGAAAAAAAAAAAACATTATTAAGGGGAGAGAACAATCAATTAACAGGAATCAAATAGACAGAAGATAACGATTGACATTGCCTTTAAATTTTTGAAGATCAAATTTGACTGGAAAGCCAGAAGCCGGAAGAGACTTGCACAAGCACGAAGTGCAAGAGAAGAAACTGTTAGCATAGAACTTACGGTTACATTTATCTATTTTAATCGTAAAATGATGAGACCTATCTTCCAGTCTAGTACTGCGCTTAAATTCGTAAAGTCGGAGTACCAAAGGTGAAAGCTCATCAGAACAATTATCTAGAAAATATTTATAGAAAAAAAGACATAGGGAAGCTACGTTGCAGTGGGTGGGAAGTGACTGAAGCTGTGATGCCAGGTCAGAACTGTTAACATTGCAGATTCTTTGTACTTTATCAAGTATCTCTAGCGGAAACACTAGACAGAACATAAAAGCAATATTCAGTGTATGGACAAATAGTCTTATAAAGAGGTTATATAATGTACATTATTTCAAATGATTACTGAGAATGAAAGAATATATATATATATATATATATATATATATATATATATATATAAATAAACGATATGTTACCCATATGTTCGGAGGTTTGATAAAATTATTTACGTTAACGCATAAGTTCCATCAGCTTCTTTGAAATGCTCATGCGTGCCTGTGTAGGTATAGACATGCGTGTGTGTGTGTGTGTGTGTGTGTGTGTGTTTATATTTACATATGCACATGCACGAAAGTCGGTCAGGAAGGCAGTCGCTTGATACAATTATTAGTTGAATTTTGATCTGAAATTATCACTGTATAATGCTATTCTTCGATCTATGAGATTAATAAAGTGGCCTTGATTTAAGCGCATTTTCAAAGAAGGATATTATCTTGAAAATAATAGATGTTATTTCTATTTCATGTTCCTTTTCAGGATTAGGCTACATATTCCCACCCAGAACAAAAAAAAATAAAATATGTATATATAGGTTTTTTATAAAATAATAAAATTTTAATGAAATATATATATATATATATATATATATATATATATATATATATATATATAATTATTTATTTTATTTTATTTCGGAGTGGGGGGATAAACGAACAGAAGAATAAGTGAAATAAATGGAGTTTTTCAATTTTCTTTTTATAATTTTATTTCATATTGCTATAGATTACGAATGCCATATCACAAATATCGATGTTTTAAGTTAAATTTTGTAAAAGCTGATGACAGGCAGAGTCGAATCTGCTATGTATATTCATTGTATAGCCAAAACTGCGGAAATCAAAACAAAATACGTTCATCCCACGTGATTTCTTAGAATAAAGAAAAATACTTTTTTTTTTCATATATTCTTATCTATTAAATACTCCAAATAACGATTTTTAGATTTCTGTTTTTAATTTTAAGAAATCACGTAGAGTGAAGATATTTTGTTTTGATTTCTTTTTAGAAGGATTAATTTACACTGAATTTACATAACTGGACTCTCTAGTTAACTTTTATAAAATTGGACTCTCCTATTACCTTTTAAAACTGGACTCTTCTATTAACTTTTATAAAAACTGGACTCTCTTTTTTACTTTTATAAAATTGGACTCTTTTATTTACTTTTATGAAATTGGACTCTTCTATTTTACTTTTATAAAATCGGACTCTTCTATTTACTTTTATGAAATTGGACTCTTCTATTTTACTTTTATAAAATTGGACTCTTCTATTTTACTTTTATAAAATCGGACTCAAAGGTATTCGTTGATCTTAGTGCTTGTAGCAACATGAAAAATTATTTGAAGAAATAATTATTTCTCGTCGCAGTGCCTAAGTTTAAGAGATAAATAAATGTTAAAAATAATGCGTATATAAACAATTTCAAAGAGATATCATTGTATATACGTACACATATGCTCTCTTATCTTTTTTTCCCAAATTAATACTTTTGTTTGACAATATCACAAAAGACATGCGATAAAAATAAAACTGTGTTACACTACCTTTATCTATCTTTATAGACTTGAATAAAAACACGTGTGCTAAAGTTCCGAGTATCTCTTGTGCTGGCTGATGCCCAGAAGAAAAAAATATATATTTAAAGAAAACTTAAGAATATATAGTTAGCGGGCCAGCCATAAACAGTTCACTTAGTTGCCATTGGAAGCATTTCGACATCGTAAAATTGAAATTCCTGTTGTAAGTAAAAGTTTTAGTAGGTGTTGAAACATAGTATTTCATCCTTTTGCTTACAATGTTCCGAGTTCTTTCTTATGTAGTTTACGTTTGCCAGTGTTTGAGTAGACTCCTTTGGGGTCTGTATTGCACTGTTATTTTTTTTTTGTGTGTGTGTGTGCAGTGCTAGACAGGAGTCCCTTTATTGTTACTTGAGAGAGACATTCTGACAGACAGGCACTCACAGACTCCCAGTAATACACAAACACGCGCACTCACACTCACGCACGCACACACGCGTACAGTGCCAATATCATTTACAATTCAGAAAATCAGCCCCTCACACTTTCATATGAAGTGACTGAAAGAAAGAAAGAAAGAGAGAAAGAAAGGGGAAAGCAGCAGGGGGGGGGGAGATAAAAACAAAAGATTTTGCCATCATTAAAAACCATCATATTTAAGATCCGATTTGCATAAACGTCGCTAGAAAAAGTTATTTGTTGCTTGTAGCGACTTTTAAATTCTTTTTTACACGTTCTGGGACATTTACCGTTTTTCTTCTTGCTAATTTATCCGTTAGAAATAATATTTAGAAGTATTTTCTTTTCTTTCTTTCCTGTGTGTGTATTTCGTTCCTTGTTAATCTTAGCTTTTTTTTTGTTTGTAGTCGTTCCCCACTACAGTGGTTTCTTTCTAACTGAAACTCATTTATACAAGTCTTTCGCTACCAACAGTTAAACAACCGACCACATCATTTTGAATTTGAACCATAGCTACTGCTGATGAAGTCGCTGTTACTACTGCTGCTGTTAAGGGCACAAGTGGCGGAGGGGGTTATATTCCTAAGAAGGGGAGGATGGAGAAGATGAAAAGAGGGATGAAGACGGGTGAAGTTAAAAAAAGAAGTTAAAAGACTATAGCATAGTGGTGGTGGTGGTGGTGGTTTTTAAAATAATGGCAGAAGTATTATTAGTAGTAGTATTATTAAGAGGACTAACGGTCGGAGATGGGATGAAGTTGTTAGTGGAGGCGAAGGTATACTAAGAGTATGAGAGACTGTGAGTGTAGTTGGGGCAGCCAGGGGAAGGACATGAAAAAGAATGAAAGAGATATATAGAGATATAGAGAAAAAGAGGGAAAGTGAATGTGGGGTGCGTATGTGTGTTTGTGAGTGTGTGCTCGAGAGAGTGAGAGGGAGAAAGAGAAAGAAAGAGAAAGAGAGAGATATGGCAGGATTAAAAATAAGAATATGGATTAAGGACCGAAAGAGATTACCTGAGATTACCTGAGATCGACGACTGGGATAGAAAGTTGTTGCTGAAAAGTTCTATCTAATGAAATATTTAAATTTTAAACAGACATTGATAAATTTATTTTAGTCCGATGAAGTCTTAAAAGACGTACGGCGTCAGGCGAAAATTTTTAAAAATTTGTTCTTGATATTATATATATATATATATATATATATATATATATATATATATATATATATATATATATATATATATATATATATATATATATATTAGTAACTCCAATACATTTTTACAAGAAAATAAATAAAATAAAAAAAATCGATGACTTTCCCCAAGGAATCCTGCTTTTAACAAATAAAGATATGTGAGATATGTAAAAAGAAAATATTTTTTTTACCAAGATTTTCTAAAAAAAAAAAAGAAATAAAAAAAGACTTTTTTTAAATAATTTAATTCATTTCTGAATATGTCCTGAAAGTTTAATTAAAATCCGACAACGCGACAATTATTTGATTTTTTGGCAAGAATTTCCAAGTCAATGTGTTTTTCACCGAAAAAAAAATTACATCAACCTTGATGTAAAACTTAAAAAGGATTTCTAACTAAAATTTCGAACGTGCTAGAAAGGATTGATTAAAAACTTTCAAAAAATAGAAAAATAATTTTGTATTTCCTCTTTAATAAACATTTTGATGACAAAACTTTGTTTTTATTGAGTTTGGGGCCTTTTTTCATGCTATGCTGTTTTTTTTTCCGCGAAAAAGTGGAGGTACCTAAATCGTTTTTCCATATCTATCTATCTTATTGTCCCCACATTATCTACCTATTTATTTGTCTCCACATCTATCTATCTATCTATCTATCTATCTATCTATCTATCTATCTTGTCTCCACATCTATCTAACTTACTGTCTCCACATCTATTTATATTACTGTCTCTACATCTAACTTATTGTCTCCACATCTACCTATCTATCAAATTGTCTCCTCATCTTTCTACGTGTCTTATTGTCTCAACATCTATTTTGTTGTCTCAACATCTATCTATCTATCTATCTATCTATCTATCTATCTATCTATCTATCTATCAAAACGTAAGTTATGTAAGAATAGATACTGGTGAATTTTTAAAAAGGAAAGTTAACTTTCGTAAAATGGTACAAATTGCAAAGTAATGTTGACTCTCCACTATATCACATTTTATTCTTCGATTTTTCACAATTGCTCTTAACCAACTGATGCTGATAAAACTTTTTAATATATGCATATTTACTCGTATATGAGCAATTCATCGTGTGACTTTCAGCTTATAATAATCTCTATCCTTACTAAAATATTGACAATAACTTGTTTTGCAAGAATCAGTTTTTATCATGCAACTTATTATTTACGATCATATCCAAAAGACACAATCTACGTAAACATCTATTTGATTATTATAATATATCTGAGTGAATATTAATATGGTCTGCTTGCGGTGCTGAATTTACATATAGGTTAGTATAGGTTTCAGTTTAGGGGGCCCAAAACTATAGGGTCTTCCAAAGGGACTTGGGCATCGGATAAAACTAAAAAAAATGAAGATATAAGAACAGTTGAGATGTGTTTATTTTCAGATTTAATTTGAATCATTTCACCCAATGCAAGACAGTAAAGCCACTAAGACAAGGGATTACTAAGCGTGAAAGAATAAGAAAAAAGCGACACATTATCAATGAGCGAGAACAATAGAAGATTAATAAAAAAGACAGTAGATAACGGTTGACATTGCATTTAAATTTTTGAAGATCAAAGTCGGCTGGAAAGCGTGGAGCCGGAAGAGAGTTCTACGAGCGAATGAAGAAACTGTTAGCATAGAACTTACGGTTATATCTGGCAATTTGAATTTATAAACTATAAAATGATGACACCTTTCTGCCAATCTAGCACTGCGCTTAAATTCATAAAATCTAGGTACCAATGAGGAAAGTTAATTAGAACAATTACCATGAAAGTTTTTATAGGAAAGACACAGGGAAGCTACATTACGGCGTTGGGAAAGTGACTAAAACCAAGATGCCAGACCAGTACTAATAATATTGCTGATTCTTTTTTGAATTATATCAATAATCTCTAATATAACAGGAGCACCAGACCATACATGGAAACAATATTCTAAGCATGGTGAATGGTAGACTTATAAATATGTAAGATAGATTCTGTCAACCCTAAGGCTCGTCCATCTAATATAGCTCTATATTCCTCAGTTTTTCTTCTTTACTAAATTTACAAGTTATACTTTGTGATTAGTACTTACATCTGGCAGTTCGGTTAATAGCTTGTCTTTAACTAATGTTCTTAATATCCAGCATTTTTTTCTCCGATTTCTTAAAAATATTTCCTTGTTGGTCAATATTTCACTTTTATTCTTCTCTCGAATCTCTCTTTGTGACATTCTTAAAGCTATTTTTCTTATTATTGGCTTAACACACGGAGAATAACTCTTTGGCTCGATCGTTACTGACGAAATAAAACCATGAGACGAAATTGTAGCAGTCAGCAAATTCTATTCTGTTGTAAATTTCTGCTGAAAGCGTGCGAGGCAGAGTGAGGCGAGGTGAGCAGGGGGACGAACGTTCTAACCGGCGTGTCTTCCTTTTGCATGGCACTCGAGCATTCTCAGTCTTTGGTTGCTAGGAACCACTGTCTTATAGATTACCAGATTTCTTTGTATTGACGGCTTTCGTCTAAAAAAATCCATTCATCAAGTCCGCACACATAGCTGACCCCTTTTGTCAGGATCGTTTAACATGTTTCTTGTGAGGTCCACTTCTCTCTGCTGACCTTCTTTGTCAAGACAATAACTGTTAAAACAATTTCTGCAACCTCTTTCCTTTTTTTGCGAGATATCGGCTGATAGCTGACATCGCTATATTATCTGATCTCTGTTCAACTCTTTTGCAATTTCCAAAATTGTGTCCTCATGACTCAATAACTTTATAATGTCTGCTTTCTCTTGTGAGGTTATATTTTTCTTTCAGCTCACGTCTGTCTTTATATATGTCAAAGTAACGCACACACACACACATATATATATATTGCAATATAATGAACAACACTTTAGTTGCATAATAAAATCTCACAAGTTATAGTAAATATTTCTATCAAATACAAATAATATAAAAAACACATAGGTTAAATATATATATATATATATATGTATATATATATATATGTATATAAATATATGTATATATATATATGTATGTATATATATATATGTATATATATATGTAAATATATATATGTATATATATTATGTATATATATATATATGTATATATATATATATATATGTATATATATATGTATATATATATATATATATATATGTGTATATATATATATAATATAAGAAGGAAGTAAGAATCAATTTTCTCACAAGTAGGAAGAAAGATAAAAGAAAGAAAGAAAAGAAGAATCAAATATAATGGAAGAACGGACAGCTAAATCAAATATAATATCAAATAAGAATGAAAGAAAGAACAAACAAAACATATATATAATTGAAATAATGAAACAAAGAATTAAAGAAAAGAAAATTTAAAGAAATATACAAAGAAAGGAAGAAAGAGAAAAATCTAAAGAAAAGCAATAAAAAGTTATAGTAAATATATTATATAGAAAGAATATATAAAATGTATATATATACGTGGTTTTGGGACAACGAGGTTAGACTAAAATAAAATAGATATTTAATAAAAATAGTAAAAATTTTAAATTTAAAATTCTTAGTTCGATACCTCGATTCCTTCAAACTCTTTGCGCATGTGTGTAATTAAATCACCTGTTGGGCGTAAACATCATTTTAGTCCGATAGAAAGCCCAAAAAGACACATCAGCCACAAATTTTTTTTCCAATAGAAAAATTTACGCATCAAATTTTTTTTCCACATTATATATATATGTGTAATTGATTTTTCCCAAAATAGATATTTAGCAATACTATACACCAAAATAGATATTTTTAGAAAAATTTAAATTTAAAATTCTTAGTTCGCCCTCTCCTTCATGCGCATGTGTAATTAAATCAGCGTAAACATCATTTTAAGAATAAGAGAACGACTGCAAAATTTTTTTTCCAAACAAACGAAAAAAAAGACTGCAAGAAACAAACGAAAAAAAGAAAAGAAATAAAACAGGCTTCAAAAAATAACAATAAGCGAAAATAAAATTATGAGGTATTTAGAATTTTCTTCATCTCTTCTGTAACACATCCCTTCAAGACATGTGAAATCATGGCTCTCCACAACTTCCTATCTTTCGTAACTCTAAACAATGTTTGTCTCACTCCCAGTTCGTGTTCTACTATCCATTTACAAAAACAGGTTACTCGATGCATCCTTCTGTCGTCTTTTCCCTTCAGGATGGCCCTGCGAAGTTTAAATTCACCCAGCCCTCTTTCCTCATTATGTTTCCCAGGGATTTCAACTTTTCTTTCTAATTCTAAATATAGGCAACTTTTTGTTCCCATTTTCCTCACACATCGTTTTCGTGCATTCTTAGCATCCGCCTGTAGAACCACATCTGCGTTGCCTCGTGTCTTCTTCATTTGTGAAGAAATTATCCAGCATTCACTGCAAGAGAGGAGGATTGATATTTTATATCAGTTTAGCACACTTTTCTTTGTTTCTAACAACGTTTTTTTTTGTTTCTGTTTAGAATCAGTTAAAAATCTGAACTTGCCTGCAATATCTGAGTTTCAGTAAGAAATATTTATTTTGATTAACGGAAAATGTCTCGTAAATTTTTGAAAATCAATCTTCAAGTCACTAAATCGAAGTTACACACGGTAAAAGAAAGAATAAAAGAAAGAAAAGGCAAAAATATAAGGAGGAAAATGGACGAAAGAATAAAATAATTAACTATAAGGGAAGAAAGAAAGAAAGAAAAAAAGAAAGGAAGAAAGAAAGAGGCAAATATACGGAAATGGACGGACAAAAGATAGAAAGAAAAAATAATCAAATATAAAAGAAAGAAATGACAAAAGAAAGAAACGAATTAGAAAGAAAATGAATTAGAAAGAAAGAAAGAATCAAATATAAGGGAAACAGAAAATGAAAAAAAGAGGAAGAAAAAAGGAATAATCAAATAAGAAAAAAGAAAGAAAGGAATTAGGAAGAAAAGAAGGAAGTAAGAATCAAATATAAAGGAAAAACGGAAGAAAGAAAGAAGAGAGAAATATGAAAAAAATAGAAAGATAGGAAGAAAGATAAAAGAAAGAAAGAAAGAAAGAATCAAATATAATGGAAAGAACGGACGAAAGAAAGAACGCAGAAAGGAAGGAAGAAAGAAAGAATCAAATATAAGGTTAATCATGAAAGAAAGAAAGAAAGAATGAAAGAAAGAAGAGAGAAATATGGAAAGAAAGGAAAAAGAAAGAAAGAATCAAATATAATGGAAAGAACGGACGAAAGAAAGAACGCATAAAGGAATAAAGGAAGAAACATAAGGTTAAGAATGAAAGAAAGAAAGAAAGAAAGAATGAAAGAAAGAAAGAATGAAAGAAAGAATGAAAGAAAGACTAGAGAAATATGGAAAGAAAGGAAGAAAGGAAAAAGAAAGAAAGAAAGCAATAAAAAAAGAAAGAATCAAATATAATGGAAAGAACGGACGAAAGAAAGAACGCATAAAGGAATAAAGGAAGAAATATGAGGTTAAGAATGAAAGAAAGAAAGAAAGAAAGAATGAAAGAAAGAAAGAATGAAAGAAAGAATGAAAGAAAGACTAGAGAAATATGGAAAGAAAGGAAGAAAGGAAAAAGAAAGAAAGAAAGCAATAAAAAAAGAAAGAATCAAATATAATGGAAAGAACGGACGAAAGAAAGAACGCATGAAGGAAGAAAGAAAGAATCAAATATAAGGTTAAGAAATAAAGAAAGAAAGAAAGAAATAAAGAAAGAAATAAAGAAAGAAATAAAGAAATAAAGAAAGAAATAAAGAAAAAAAAAAAAAAAAAAGAAATATGGTGTATAAAAGGATTGGAGAAAATAAAGAATATCATAGATTGAGAAACGTTAAAAACAAAACAAAATAAAAATGACGTAATCGTAACATGCATTTAGTTGGGGATTTTACAAATACTCAATTTTACCGGAGGCAGATATGATATGGCAATTATTCGAGAAGATATAAAAAACGCTTTACGAAATAGAAACACATAATTGCAACCATTTTGCTGTGATTAATCTGACATGACGGCTTATTAACCGTTTGCAGGTTATTTAAAGCCAGAAGATATTTTTAGATTTTGAGAACTTTGGTTTTTGAGATAATAATGGTTAAGTGATACAAATTAAGTCTTAAAATTAACCCATAGCTGGGGGGAAGAGGTAGACCCATACCTTTCTCAAGGATATTTGCACGTAAATGATTTTAACGAACCCAACTCAGCTCACGCTTAACAATTTTGAGCCATTATCCATTAAACCATCCGCACATCCAAGCTTAAAACACCTAGCATTCCCAAGCTGTCACTCATCTAGGTTTAACCAGGCTCGACGTTGCTTAACTTCGGTGATCGTACGGAAACGTGATGTGGCTGTAAGCCTGACTTAAAAAGATAAAAAGGTTCTTTTCGAACGATCATCAGGTCGCCCCGAAAACCAGAGATAAACGTTGAATTAATTGAGAAAAAAGCATTCGACTGTTTATCCAAGACTATCACGTAATATTAAATTACATGAAATGCTTAAATCAGGTGTTACGACATTGAATTTAGTAAACTATATAATAATAAAAGAAATAAACAAACGGCAAATTCTGTCTGTCCGTCCCTGTGACTGAAATCCCTTTAACTTGGGCTACACTTACCCTACATAGACATATTTTACCTTTTTGGGATCAGGATGATCTTGAGATTGAAAATCTGCCTTTCATCTGGGGCTTGAAAATCTAGCATTGGTATTTCTGTCCGAATGAGGAAAGAACAGTTAAAATTCAAATCTTAAAATAACTGAAAACAATTAGTGATTTTAAATTTTTTTATTTTGTATTGAGTTTAAAGTAACAAAAATGTTGTCAATTTATTTTTTTGTTGCTTTAAATTCAGTTTAAAATATCTCTAAATCTTTGTGAATTGGTGAAATCAGTTTTATTTCTTCAAAATGCTAAGGAATCAAAGTTAAGGTGATAGTTTAGGATTTGAAGAACTCAATTTTCAGCCTGAATTGGAATTTCAGCCCAAATTAGACTTTTGGTCGGGATTGGGCTTATAGCCCAAATCAAAGTTAAAAGGAGATTTTGAAGTTCCATGGAGTGAATTGAAGAATTCAAAGTTATTTCTTCAAAATTATCATTGTTGTGTTCTAAGATAGACGTGAATACACTTTAGTTTTGAGCCGAACGACCAGTTAGCCATCGACAGGAAATGTCCGCGCGGAGTTCGGTTTTTAAGCTAGTTAATAAGTCTTTTTTTTACATATTATTTAATCAAAATGTATTGCCCTATGTAGGGATGAAACCATAAGTGATTACTGATAAATTTACATCTTCTTTATGTGACGTGTTCTCTCAGAACGTATGGCTCTCCACAACTTCCTGTCCCTTGTAGCTCTTAATAAACATTGTCTTTCTGTTATTTCTCCTAAACCCTGTTCCACCATCCATTTACTCAAGCTCAGTAAGCTAAGCGTTGTTTTCCTCTGTCCAAACAGAATAAAGAGTGAGAAAGACGAGTGAGTTGAAAAGATGTGAGAGGGGGAAAGAAAATGGAATAGACAATAAAGAAGGAGAAAGACGAGTGTGAGGTAAAAATTAGACAACAAAGAATAAGGAGAGAGAAACACGAGCGAGGGCGAAAGAAAAGAGAAGAGAGAATAACGACAGAGAACGATGTACGAGAGGTGAAAAAAAATGAATGGAGACTAATTAGGGAGTAAGTGGTCTGAGGAAGGGTAAAGAAAAGAGACTAGAAAATATGGAGGGAGAAAGCCGAGTGAGAAGGAAAGAAATGAGAATAAGGATGGAGAAGGACGTTTGAGAAAGAAAGAAAAAAGAATAGGGAATAAGGAGAGAGAAAGACGAGTGAGAGGAAAGAAAAAGAATAGGGAATAAGGAGACAGAAAGATAGGGAATAAGGAGAGTGAGAAGGAAAGAAAAAAAAAGAATAGGGAACAAAGGGAGAGAGAAAGACGAGTGAGGGGAAAGAAAGGAAAGAAAAGGAGAGGGAAAAAAAAAAGAATAGGGAATAAGGAGAGAGAGTGAGAGAAAGAAAAAAAAGTGAGAGGGAATAAAAAGTGAGAAAAAAGGGAAGGAGAGAGAAAGAGAGTGAGAGGGAAAAGAGAGAGAAAAGAATAGGGAAAGAAAAAGAATAAGGAGAGAGAAAGACGAGTGAGAGGGAAAGAAAAAAAAAAGAATAAGGGAAGGGAAAGAAAAAAGGAGAGGAGAGGGAAAAAAAAAGAGAATGAGAAGGAAAGAAAAAGAAAAAAGAATAGGGAATAAGGAGAGAGAAAGAAGTGAGAGGGAAAGAAAAAGAATAGGGGAATAAGGAGAGAAAGGAAAGAAAAAAGAATAGGGAATAAGGAGAGAGAAAGAAAGGGAAAGAAAAAGAATAGGGAATAAGGAGAGGGAAAAGATAGGAGTAAGGAGAGGAAAAACGAGAGGGAAAGAAAAAAGAATAGGGAATAAGGGAGAGAAAGACGAGTGAGAGGAAAGGAAAGAAAAAAGAATAGGGAATAAAGAGAGAAAGACGAGTGAGAGGAAAGAAAAAAAGAATAGGGAATAAGGGAAGAAAGACGAGTGAGAGGGAAAGAAAAAGAGAAAGAGAGGGAAAGAAAGAAGTGAGAGGGAAAAAAAAGAATAGGGAACAAAGAGACATAAAGACAAGGAGAGAGGAAAGACGAGTGAGAGGGAAAAAAAAGAATAGGGAATGAGAGGAAAAAAAAAGAAAGGAGAGAGAAAGACGAGTGAGGGGAAAGAAAAAGAAGGAGGGAAAAGAAAAAAGAATAGGGAATAAGGGAGATAAGGAGGAAAGAAAAAAATATGGAATAAGGAGAGAGAGAAGGAAAAGGGAAAAAAAGAATAGGGAATAAGGAGACTAAAGACAGAGTGAGAGGAAAGAAAAACAGGGAATTTGAGAAGAAGACGAGTGAGGAGGGAAAGAAAAAGAAAAAAGGAGAAGTGAGAGGGAAAGAAAAAAGAATAGGGAATAAGGAGAGAGAAAGACGAGTGAGAGGGAAAGAAAAGAAAGGGAAAGGGAACAAGGAGAGGAAAAACAAAGAATAAGGAGAGAGAAAGGAGGGAAAAGAAAGGGACAAGGAGAGAGGAAGACATAAAGAGAAGGGAAAAAAAAGAATAGGGGAACAAGGAAAAAAGAATAAATAAGGAGAGACAAGTGAGAGGGAAAGAAAAAAAGAATAGGGAATAAGGAAAAAGAGAGAAAGAAAAAGAAAAAGAGAGAGAAAATGAGAGAATAAGGAGAGAGGGAAAAAAAAGGAATAAGGAGAGAGAAAAGACAAGTGAGAGGGAAAGAAAAAAAGAATAGGGAATAAGAGAGAGAAAGACGAGTGAGAGGGAAAAGAAAAAGAATAGGGAATAAGGAGACATAAAGACGGGTGAGAGTGAAAGGGAAAGAGAAAAAGAAAGGGAATAAGAATAGAGAGAAAAGACAAGTGAGAGGAAAGAAAAAGAATAGGGAACAAGGAGAAAAAGTGAGAGGGAAAGGAATAGGGAATAAGGAGAGATAAAGATGAGAGGAAAGAAAAAAGAATAGGGAACAAGGAGAGAGAAAGAAAAGTGAGAGGGAAAGAAAAAAAAAGGGAATAAGGGAGAAAAAGGAGAGGGAAAGAGAATAGGGAAAAGAAAAGAATAGGAATAAGGAGACATAAAGACTTAAAAGGAAAGGGACAAGTGAAGGGAAGAAAAGAATAGGGGAATAAGGAGAGAAAGACGAGTGAGAGGAAAAAAAGAAAGGAATAGGAAGAGAGTGAAGGAAAGAAAAAAGAATAGGGGAACAAGGAGAGAAAGAGTGAGAGGGAAAGAAAAAGAATAGGGAATAAGGAGAGAGAAAGACGAGTGAGAGGGGAAAAAAAGAAAGGAATAAAGGGAAAAGACGGTGAGAGGGAAAAGAATAGGGGAAAAAGAAAAAAGAGAGAAAGACGAGGAGAGGAAGAAAGAATAAAAAAGAATAGGGAAGGGAAAGAAAAGAGAGAGAGGGAAAAGAGGAGAGAGAAAGAGGAGTGAGAGGGAAAGAAAAAAAGGAGAGAGAAAAAAGAGGGAAAAAAGAAAAAGAATAGGGAATAAGGGGAAAGAAAAAGATAAAGGAGAGAGGGAAAGAAAAAAGAATAGGGAATAAGGAGAGAGAAAGACGAGTGAGAGGGAAAGAAAAAAGAATAGGGAATAAGGAGAGAGAAAGACGAGTGAGAGGGAAAGAAAAAAGAATAGGGAATAAGGAGAGAGAAAGACGAGTGAGAGGATAAAGAAGAGAAGAGGGAAGAAAAGAATAGGGGAGGAGAGAGAAAGAAGAGAGAGAGGGAAAGAGAGAGAAAGAGGAAGAGAGAGGGGGAAAAAAGAAAAGAAAAATAGGGAATAAGGAGAGAAAGAAAAAAAGACAGAGTAAAAGAGAGGGAAAGAAAAAAAGAATAGGGAATAAGGAGAGAAAAGACAGAGTAGGGAGGGAAAGAAAAAGAATAGGGAATAAGGAGAGAGAAAGACAGAGTGAGAGGGAAAGAAAAAGAATAGGGAAAAAGGAGAGAGGGAGAGTGAGAGGAAAGAAAAAAGAATAGGGAATAAGGGAGAGAAAGACGAGGAGAAAAAAAAAAGAATAGGAATAAGGAGAGAGAAAAAGAGGAAAAAAAGAATAGGGAATAAGAGAGAGAAAGACGAGGAGAGGGGAAAAATAGGGAAAAAAGAAGGGAAAGAAAAAAATAAGGAGAAAAGAGTGAGAGGAAAGAAAAAAAGAGGAGAAAGAAAGAGAGGAGAAGAAAAAGAATAGGGAATAAGGAGACATAAAGACGAGTGAGAGGGAAAGAAAAAAGAATAGGGAATAAGGAGAGAGAAAGACGAGTGAGAGGGAAAGAAAAAAGAATAGGGAATAAGGAGAGAGAAAGACGAGTGAGAGGGAAAGAAAAAGAAAAAAGGGAGATAAAATAGGGAAAGAAAAAGAATAGGGAATAAGGCATAAAGACGAGTGAGAGGGAAAGAAAAAAATAGGGAACAAGGAGAGAGAAAGACGAGAGAGGAAAGAAAAAAAGAATAGGAATAAGGAGAGAGAAAGACGAGGAGAGGGAAAGAAAAAGAATAGGGAATAAGGAGAGAGAAAGACGAGGAGAGGGAAAAGGAGAAAGACGATTGAAAAAGAAAAGAATAGGGAATAAGGAGAGATAAAGACGAGTGAGAGGGAAAGGAAAGGGAATAAAAAGGAAAAGAATAGGGAATAAGGGAGAGAAAGAGTGAGAGGGTGAGAGGGAAAGACTTAAAAAAGGGAAAGAATAGGGAATAAGGAGAGAGAAAGACGAGGAGAGGAAAAAAAAAGAATGAGGAGACATAAAGAGAGTGAGAGGGAATTTAAAAAAAAGGAATAGGGGAATAAGGAGAGAGAAAGACAGTATACAAAGAGAGAGGGAAAAAGAAAAAGAATAGGGAATAAGGAGAGAGAAAGACGAGGAGAGGGAAAGAAAAAAGAAAGGGAACGAGAGAGAAAGACTTTGAGAGGGGAAAGAAAAAAAAAGAATAGGGAATAAGGAGAGAGAAAGACATAAAGAGTGAGAGGGAAAGAAAAAAAAAGGAATAAGGAGAGAAAGAAGGAGAGGGAAAGAAAAAAGAGAGGAGAAAGAAGAAAGTGAGGGAAAGGGGAAAGAAAAGAAGTGAGAGGGAAAGAAAAAAGAATAGGGAATAAGAAAGAGAGAATAAAGAAAGAGGGAAAGACATTGGAGAGAAAGGAAAGAAAAAAAGAGGGAATAAGGAGAGAAAAGAATAAAGAATAGGGAATAAGGAGAGATAAATAAGAGAGAAAAAAGAAAGAATAAGGAGAGAGAAAGAGAGTGATAAAGAAAAGGAGGAGAGAGAAAGGAAAGAAAAAAAGAATAGGAATAAGGAGAGAGAAAGACGAGTGAGAGGAAAGAAAAAAAGAATAGGGGAATAAGGGAGAGAGAAAGACGAGTGAGAGGGAAAAAAAAAAGAATAAAGGAGAGGAGAATAAGAAAGAGAGAAAAGGGACAAGATAAAGAGAGGGAAGGGAAAAAAAAGAATAGGGAATAAGGAGAGAGAAAGACGAGAGAGGGAGAAGAAAAAAGAATAGGGAATAAGGAGAGGAAAGACGAGGAGAGGGGAAAAGAAAAAGAATAGGGAACAAGGAGACATAAAGACAAGTGAGAGGGAAAGAAAAAAGAATAGGGAATAAGGAGAGGGAAAAAAGAAATGGAATAAGGAGAGAGAAAGACGAGGGAAAAAAGAAAAGAATAAAGGGAATAAGGAGAGGGAAAAAGAGTGAGGAGGGAAAGAAAAAGAATAGGGAATGAGAGGAAAAAAAAAAAAGAATAGGGAATAAAGAGAGAAAAAGAAATAAAAAAAGAATAGGGAATAAGGAGAGAGAAAGAGTGAGAGGGAAACAAAAAGAGGGGGAAAGAAAAAAAAATAGGGAACGAGGAGAGAAAAGAGAGAGAAAGACGAAAAAGAATAGGGAATAAGGAGAGAGGAAAAGGGAAAAAAAAAGAATAGGGAATAAGGAGAGAGAAAGAGGAGAGGGAAAGAAAAAAGAATAGGGAACAAGGAGAGAAAGACGAAAGGGAAAAAAAAAAAGAATAGGGAATAAGGAGAGAGAAAGACGAGTGAGAGGGAAAGAAAAAAAGGGAAATAAGGAGAGATAAAAGACAGAGTGAGAGGGAAAGAAAAAAGAAGGGAATAAGGAGATAAACGAGTAGGGAGGAGGAAAAAAGAATAGGAAAGTGAGAGGGAAATAAATAAGGAGAGAGAAAGAAGGAGAGGGAATAAAGGGAATAAGGACAGAGAAAGACAAGTGAGAGGGAAAAAAAAAAAAATAAAGAGAGAAAACAGTGAGAGGGAAAGAAAAAGAATAGGGAATAAAGGAGAGAGAAAGAGGAAAGGAGAGGAAAAAAAAGAAAAAAAAATAGAGGAAGGAAAGAAAAAAAAAAAAGAATAGGGAAATAAGGAGAGAGAGAAAGACATGAGGGAGAGGGAAAGAAAAAAAAGGGAACAAGGAACAGAAAGAGGAGAAAAAAGAAAGGGAATAAGGAGACATAAAGACAAGTGAGAGGGAGAAGGAAAGGAGACATAAAAAAAAGAATAGGGAATAAGGAGAGAGAAAGACGAGAGGAGAGGGAAAAAAAAAAGAATAGGGAATAAGGAGAGAGAAAGACGAATGAGAGGGAAAAAAGAGGGAAAGAGAAAAAAGGGAAAATAGGGAATAAGGAGAGAAAGACGAGGAGAGGGGGGAATAGGAATAAAAAAGATAGTAAAGAGGGAAAGAAAAAAAGAATAGGGAATAAGGAGAGAGAAAGACGAGTGAGAGGAAAGAAAAAGAATAGGGAATAAGGAGAGAGAGAAAGATAAGGAGTGAGAGAGGGAGGGAAAAAAGAATAGGAAGGAGAGGAATAAGGAGACAGAAAGACAGAGTGAGAGAGGGAAAGAAAAAAGAATAGGAATAAGGGAGAAAGACTGAGAGAGGGAAAAGAAAAAAGAAAGAATAAGGAGACATAAAGAGAGGAGAGGGGAAGAAAAAGAATAGGGAATAAGGAGACATAAAGACGAAAGTGAGAGGGAAAGAAAAAGAATAGGGAATAAGGAGACAGAAAGACGATTGAGAGGGAAAGAGAATAAGGGAGGAAAAGAAGAAGTGAGAGAGAAAGAAAAAGAATAGGGGAACAAGGGAACAAGGAGAGAAAGAAAGATAATAGAGTGAGAGGAAAAAAAAGAATAGGGAATAAGGAGAGAGAAAGACGAGTGAGAGGGAAAGAAAAAAGAATAGGGAATAAGGAGACATAAAGACGAGTGAGAGGGAAAGAAAAAAGAATAGGGAATAAGGAGAGAGAAAGACGAGTGAGAGGGAAAGAAAAAAGAATAGGGAACAAGGAGACATAAAGACAAGTGAGAGGGAAAGAAAAAAGAATAGGGAATAAGGAGAGAGAAAGACGAGTGAGAGGGAAAGAAAAAAGAATAGGGAATAAGGAGACATAAAGACGAGTGAGAGGGAAAGAAAAAAGAATAGGGAACAAGGAGACATAAAGACAAGTGAGAGGGAAAGAAAAAAGAATAGGGAATAAGGAGAGAGAAAGGAGAGGGGAAAGAAAAAAAAAAGGGAACAAGGAGGAAAGACGAGTGAGAGGGAAAGAAAAAAGAATAGGGAGGAGAGATAAAGAGTGAGAGGGAAAAAAGAAAAAAAAAGAATAAGGAGACAGAAAGAACAAAAAATAAAAGGGAAAAAAAAGAAAAAGAAAGTGAGAGAAAAGAAAAAAAAAGAATAAGGGAGACAGAAAGACGATGAGAGAAGGAAAAAAATAGGGAATAAGGAGAGAGAAAGACGAGGAGAGGGAAAATAAAGAATAGGGAACAAGGGAATAGGAGACATAAAGACAGAGGGGAAGAAAAAAAAATAGGAACAAGGGAAAGACGAGTGGGAGAGGGAATAAGGGAATAAGGAACGAGGAGGGAAAAAAAAAGAATAAAGAATAAGGAGGGAAGGAAAGAAAAGAAGAGTAGGGAAGATGATGAAAAAGAAAAATAAGGAGTGTTAAAGAAAAGGAAAAAAAAAGAAAAGG